TATATATTTATTTAAATCTATATGCAAATATTTTCATGATTATTTATTCCATTAATGAAACATATAATAAATAAGCTAACTTTTTTTTTACTAATAGATACATGATTTATTTGTAATATTCTTTAATTGAAAAAATTTTTAGTAGTATATTTTTAAATATGCATAATTAATATATATGTGTGTGTGTGTGGTAGTATAGCAACGCCATATATCTTGGACACACTGAAATTTATTTAATTAATGTATATATTAAGTAATAAGGTAAGTAATAAATGCATATATGGTAATATATGTGTTTTATATCACTGGGACTCTAATAAATTTAGCTATATAAAGTAAATTTGTATGAAAATCGCAAATTAGGAAAACAAATTCGTGAATGATACATATATGTGATTATTTATTCCATTAATGATACATATAATAAATAAGCTAACTTTTTTTTCACTAATAGATACGTGATTTATTTGTAATATTCTTTAATTGAAAAAAAATTTAGTAGTATATTTTTAAACATGTATAATTAATATGTGTGTGTGGTAGTATAGCAACGCCATATACCTTGGACACACTGAAATTTAATTAATTAATGTATATATTAAGTAATAGGGAAATCGCAAATTAGGAAAACAAATCAAAAATTGAATTCGCGAATTTTGTGTGAATTCGCTCTCAAATCGCAAATTCGCGTACGGAGCTTTAAAGCGGAACCAGATGAATTGTGTGACTAAGGTTACGGTAGATGAGTGCCATTAATACTTTGAGAATTCTGGTGAACTCTTATGCAATGCAAAAATTATAAAAGTGGTTCTGAATCTCAATCTCAGTCCTCAGATGAATGAGATGGGAAAGGAACTAGCGTGGTGAAAAAATTAGACGAAAACTAGTGTTGATGTTACCGTTTCTAACCTAAAAAAAAAAAAAAAGAAAAGAAAAAAAACAACCCAACACCTTTTGTACCAAGTCAATTACCTACACTAAGACCATAGCTTTGACTATATATTTTGATGTCGTGAATATGAAGTATGTTGCCTCATTTGAAACTGAGTCGGAAACAAAGATAAAATCACTAATAATTAAGCACACGAAAAATAAATACATACATAACAATCATATATAATACATAACGATATCTATGCGGTATATATAATTCCAAGTCTATGTAAACATTTACATAATTCTTATCATTGTTCAATATAATCGGCTATTTGTACTTGTCGTTATACATTTTGATGAGAAAACAGGGATTAACATCATATTATGGACATATATATATACGGTGTAATTTTGATGAGGAAATTAGATGTTAATTAATTATTACAGGTCTTTATTAAATAGATGGACTTTCAACCTTGTTTTAAATTTTTAATGATAACTATTATCCCTCAGGATTCCATTTTAATAATCTTTATATCAGGGAATAGGAATTTTCTTTATTTGACAGTTAGCCATTTATCATGATTGGTAAATGGTTACATTATTTGAATGATAATATTTTATCATATATTTTCTATTTTAGGAAATCATAATTTGAGTAATCAAAATGATAACCCAGGTTGTCTGATAAAAAAAACTAGAACTTGCATTTAAGTTGAATTTCACGATTTTTGCAAAAACAAGTATAAAACTATAATGTTCGTTTTCTTGAACATTGATACAACTACACTTGCCAAGAAAAGGAAAAGAAAGAAAGAAAATTGATAGAGTTGAGATTAAGTAATTCCTTCAAAAAGATTCAAAAAAATTATTTATCATTCGTGAATATTGTTTTTTATTACTTTAAATTTTAATTTGTTCGATAAAGACTTTTCTACACCTTTAATACTTTGTTATATCATATACGTGCCATCAATCTAAAGTCATATAAGATTATCACTAATTGAACAAAGTAATAAGTTGTGAGCGAAGCCAATTAAGGACACCGGTGTGGGGGTGAGGGCGGGCCCCCTGATCTGGGCCAGCCCAATATAATATATATGATATTTTTTATTTTTTATTTTTTACACTATATGAAAATAAATTATAGTGGTTAAATTTTCCTTTAACTTTTTTGGTTTAAATTTCTCTCATTTTTTTTTTCTTTTTCTTTTTCTACTTCCCGGTCTTAAAATTCTTCCTTTTAACATGCATATTTGAATAATTTTTTTCTTTTCTTCTTTTGTATTTTATACTACGTATTTGTTAGGTTACGTTATATATATATATATATATATATATATATATAAATTTTTTTGGCAGCATCATCATCTGCTGTAAATGGTTTTTTTTTTTTTTTTATTTTTTATTATTATTTTATTTTTTGGAGAAATGGTTAATCTAACATGTTACTTACCAAAAACAAAAATAAAAATATGATAAAGAATAAGTTGTTTGCAATAAATCAACCATTTTTTAAGAAATATCATTCATAATATGATATGTGTTCAAAAAAAAAAAAAAAAAAAAGATAAAAAAAAGATGATTATAATAGACCCATTATTTTTTGTAAGGAATACCATCGATAATATGACTTGTATCAAAAAATATAAAATAAAATAAAAAGACTCTGCAACTTTAATGAAAGGCCTCATTTTACAAATTAAATCTAGCATCTCTAACACAGAATGCCTACAAATTAAATCTGTCATTAACATTTGATTGTTTATATAGATTTCAAAAATAACTATTTGGATGCGTGACAAAATCAAGGTTGGTAGAGGGGCAATAATGAAATGTACAAACATGGCTATGTAGCATTGAAAATGAAATACTTTGTAGTATTCTTTCAGTCTTTAATAGCACTAGCTATTAAAGAAAAAACAAATAAATAATTTAATATATGCACTCATCTACCAAAAAAGCAAATTTGTATTTTTTTATTTTATTTGTATAATGTATGTTGTAACATTAATACGGTGGCCGCTCTCTTGTCTCTATTTATTCACCAAGTCCTTATCAATAAGGACCACCAAACGTGTTCTTGCTACCAACCGTGTTCGGTTCGAATTGCAACTTTCTACAAATCATATTAAATTTAATTTTTATCAATTCTTTGGGATCAGATTGATTTAGGTTTGATACCCAAGCCAATGCAATCTAAATCCATGGTCACCCAAGATGAAATCAAATTTGTTAGTTACTTCGAATCTAAGACCAAATACAAGACCAGTGAAGTAAAGAGAGACAAATTCCCTGCTACACACTAAAAAGAATATAAGATTAAACACTCCAAGTAACTAATAGTAACTGAGTCCATCATATTACACCTTTTTTTTTTTTTCCTTTTTTACCTGCCAATGAAAATTTGTTAGATTTTATTTGTTAATAAAGGTTGATGGTGTTAGAAGCTTGAATGAAGAAGCTCAATGGTGATACATATTGTTTCGAATTCAATAAGGACCAACCACAACATGAACATATAAATCTTTTTTTTTTATATAAATTGGCTACTCTTTATTTATTTCCTAAATAAAATTACATTAAACCAACAAAACAAGAATACAAAGCTACAAGAAGAGTGGGCATACCCTCACATTACAATTGAAAAGGCCTATTTCCATAAACCAGAAAAGAAAAGAAAAAAAGGTAAAGAAAAAGAGCACCAACAAACAAAACGTAGCCAAAAACAATGTCACTTCCACCTCTTGAACAACTGAATCACAAATCTCATTATAAAAGGCACAGCAGCTGCAAGCAGAACATAGCGAAAATTCACTGATTCACCTGGTGCAATAGCGAAAACTGCAGAAGCATAAGTTGCATACATTGAGGCCATGGCCACCCATATTTCGAAATGAAAAGGGAATCCATGAGTTAGAGAAACAAGGACAAGGATGGAGGCGGAAAGAGAAAATGTGTTAGATATCAAGAAAACGTAGAATGCTACTTTATGAGACGCGTAAATTGCCCTTCCTGCCTTGTGTCCATTGCTGTCATCCTGCCAAACACCACCAGGAGGGTTGACCCCGGCTTGGAAGGTCACCGCGGTGACCAGAGCTGCCACTATTAGCAGCACATTTCGGATGTCACTAGGAGTGTCCTTGTGTTCTTCATACCCAAACCTGAACCAGTTCTTCCAACAAGCAGAATCTGAAAGCCTGCCCATTTTTATGAAAAAGTGGTACTGAAAACTTCATTTTGTGAGTGTAATATATAAAAGAAGAGTTGGACTGTCTTCGATCTAATTCACTTTTCAATACACTCATTGATATTTAATTAGGAAGGAAGAAGATAAAATGGTTACTTAATTAAGGAACTTTCATTCATATTTCTTCAATGGTCGACCTTCCCCACAAAAAAATATATATATAGTTGACTTCCTAGATAAGTGTTGATTTGGTTGATATTAATATAATTTATGTTCTCGTTGTTGTAATAAAATATGTTAGTGTTTCAACAGTCGAGGAACAAGAATCATCGGGATGCCTTCACGAACATGTGCTTAGAGTAAAACAATGTTATGTTCATCTTGAAAAATGAGTTGATTCGGTTAGAAAAATGACGTGAAATGGTCGGTGTTTACCCTTGGCGTCACTCATTAAAGACAAGCTTACCTCATTAATCAAATAAAAATTGGACTTAATTAGCAGTTCTCATCACTAAGCTAGAATTACAAGTCCTAAATGTTCTACTGTGGTCCTTACTTTTGAGTCATCCATTTAATTGTGCAAAAATGCTTCTGTACATGAGTATAGTAATTTTAAAATCGTTTATGAATCTTCATTAGCACGAAAATGGTGAACGACACTTTGAGTATTCGTATTTGAAGGTGCACCGGACTTCTGTCAACTAATGATCTAGTAACGGATACCATTTAGCGTGGCACTTTATGCCTACTATTCTTGTAACTAAATGAAACTTCGCTGGCAAAAAGAGAAATAAATAAATAGAAGGGAAGAAAGCTCCCAAAATTTTTGTTAATTAGCATAGGCAGTATGGGCTAAAATTTGAAGATCAACAACACTCTTGGGAATCTACTTGTTGAATATTGGAAATTCAAAATGTAATAAAACAACCTTGAATGAGCTAGGTAAATTTTCTTATAACAATGACTTATTAGAGAGCACACACTAAATACTTTTATTACACAAATAATGAAAAATGTAATTACAATAAAACATCAACTCCGAAGAAATATGTTAACAGCATATAGCACTTGAATATAAGTAGGAGAACTATGATAGCCAGTGTGTTTGTATGAGCACAGAAATTAGATTCTAGAAAGGTTGTCCGGACCTTCATTAGCCTCTGATTGTTGTCTCAACCACTTCCAAACTTTGTTTCCCCACTTTGGCAGCCACCGTATAGAGAGTGGTAGAATGAAGGCGACTCCCAGAAGTATATTTGTGATGACTTTCTTCTCCTCTATCATGCTATTAATTGAAAATCCATACGCGAACATCATGGAGTATATGGAAACCAGGAGCTCCCTTTGGAAAGGAAATCCTCCAGTGAGATAGATTATGATGCTTAGTGACGCAGTAAGCCCCAATGTGTTTGCAAACAAAAACAAAAATGGTTTAGTAGAATGAGAGCCAATAATTGCAATAGTATCACCTAGACTAGAGGTTATTAATGGTGAATGTTGTGCTCCTGTGGGTGCTGCTGATCCTGGTGGTCCATTACCAGAAGCTGAATTGGTTTTCGATTCTAGTAAGCCAGTGGGAGGGTTCACGCCTGCTTGAAAGGTGACCGTGGCAATCAGTGCAGCCACTACTAGCAGTGCATTGCGTGTTTCGCCTGGTGAATCTCTTTGCAACTGAAATTTAAAATATTTAAACCAATCTGTTGGAGATTCTGATTGAGCCTCATGCTGAGTTTGTTCGGATTCTGAAACCTGCTGAAGAGAAGGTCTTGAAGGAATAGGACTAACATCTTGAGCCCCAAGTGCTCCAGCACGTCGAAGGATTTCTCTTAGTTGGACATCATTGGGACTTTCCATTACTATATCTAGTAGATCCATAGCTGTCAAACCCTTTGAATTTGTGGCGTTCACTTTCACAATCCCTCTAATAGCATCGCTGTTACAAAGCAGTAGCTCTATAAACTGCATGATAGAAATATATAATGTAAGAACATGCTAAATTACTAATCTATCAGACCATTTGCTTAAAATGGTATTTTTTCGAGAAATGGACTGCATAAGAAGATGAGCATAATATGTACAGTATTAATAACTATCATCCTAATTCTTTTATTTGGATTCATTGAGAACAGTTTTGTCAGGCCCCGACAATTTTAATAAAATTCTCAATTTATACAAGTCTAAATATATCAAAATATACCCAGATCATAAAAATTACCCCTTCTTTTATACAAAGTCAAATTTCTCAAATATACAAAACAATTCTCCAAATAAAAAAAATAAATCCTCCGACTCTTCAGCCTAAGTCAGAATCTAGCGATCCCCGTTCATCTTCTGTACTTAAAACAGTGGTGAGACAAAAAGTCCCCGTAGAAAAAACTATAACAAGAATTTTATGGAGGTTTAATAAAATAGCTTTATAACATAAACATATATATTTAATTAAAAATATTCAAGGTATAGAGAATCCTGCGCCCTCTGCAACTCTCGACACACGCTCAAACTCTCACTGTCTTGGCTCACTCTATTTCTTTTTTTCTTTTCAAGATACAACTTTGTGACACACAATACTCACATATATATATATATATATATATATATATATATATATATATATATATATAATGTAGATCCACCGACAGAACAAAGAATCAACAAACAAAACCCACGTGAAGCTCAAGATTTTCTTGCAAAATAAATTGGGAAAATTACATATAAATGGAGTTAAAGTTCCATATTTACTTAGAGACTGAGTCAAAGTTTTATATTTCTCTAAAATGGATTGCTGAGGTGGCACATGGTTTTTTACTGTTTAGAAAATTGTGGTGCCTAAAATGCCCTTCCCTAATAAAAAAGTAGTACCTTCAGTTCAAAAAAGTAGTACCTTCAGTTTAAAAAGTAGTACCTTCGGAGAAAAAGTAGTACCTTCGCGGGTGTTTAAAAAACATGGTACCTGGACACCAAAAAGTAGTACCTTCAGTTCAAAAAAGTAGTACCTTCGAAGAAAAAGTAGTACCTTCGCGAAAGGGTATTTTAGGCACCACAATTTCTAAACAGTAAAAAACCATGTGCCACCTCAGCAATCCATTTTAGAGAAATATGGAACTTTGACTCAGCCTCTAAGTAAATATGGAACTTTGACTCCATTTATATGTAATTTTTCCAAATAAATTCTTGTGGGCCCACCAACAAATCAAACCACCTTTCTTTTCCTCTCTTCCCACTCGGCTGGACCACTTGTCCGTCTGACCAACGTATATATTTATATATATCACATACACATGAAACAAAAAAAATCAAATTTCAACCCATCAATATCAATATCAAGTGGGACCTGAAATTCCCCTTTCTTTTCTTCTCGGCGGACCTGCCCACCTTCCTTCTTGCAATAAATATATATATATCTTATATACAATGCACAAAACCAAATTCATCTCTTAACACAAATCCTAGTAGGTCCCAGAAAAAGAAAAAGCCATCATCACAAACTTCATCTTTCCTTTTCATCTCACCAGTTTCGTACAACCAGCTTAATCAACCATCAAATGCACTATATATGTGTATATATATATATACAGACACACACACAAGTGCAAAACCAAACCAAACCAAATCTCTCTTCTTGGATTCGGCTTCCCCACTAAAACAAACTCAAAAAAAAAAAAATAATAATAATAATTATTATAAATTAAAATCTTAAAAATTCGAGTCATCACAAGTTTATGCTTAGGTATCATTAGGATTTAATACTGTTTTGTTCTAGCTAGTTCGTAAAGATGCCACTGGTCTTAGTAGAACAATATCCTCTTATCAATTTTTCCCAAAGATCACATGATTTGGTTAGGGACTCTCAGTTGTCCTTTACCTATAGTGGTCTTTGGAGGCATCGCCTTATCAGCAACTTCTATGGCCTTTGACTTCCAATTTAATGAACTTGTAAATCCTAGCTAAACAATATTTACATATTGTTATACAAAGTCTCATATACAGAGGTGCGTGAAGTTTTGCTAAGATTATGAATTTATGCTCTGATTCAACCAAGAAGAGGAGAGCAAAATCTACTTCAAAGCTGTCATATGAATCAGAGCAAACATTGATACTATTTTCTAATATAATAAATTAATGATCTGATTTCCATACCACTAGTACTGTCACAAACATGAGACTACAAACAAAAAAATGAAAAAAGAAAATGGAAGGCAAATGTAGAACAAGATCAAGACAGTGGTTCTAATAAAGCTAAACGGACCTCAAGTTGTTTTGTAGAGGCTGCAAGGTGCAAAACAGTGTTTCCATGGCGATCACCCCAATTCAAGACTGGTTCCATGCTGGGATTTTCAAGCCTCTTGAGCAAAGCACTAAAGGCTTTAAATTGGTGGTTATTCACAGCTAGTTGGAGGGCAGTTTCTCCGTGGACGGTGACATCTGCGACAGATTCTGGACAGGTGGAGAGCAATAGATCTATTACTTCAACTCTCCCCTTGATGGCAGCATAATGAAGCGCTGTCCTCTGGTCTTTGCCTTTGAGACGACAGATCATATTATCAACTTTTACTAGTTCTTTCACTATTTCTACGTTCCCAGCCATCGAAGCTATGTCCATAGGCATAAAACCATCCTCACTTGATTCTCTAGCTAATTCGGGATTGTGTTTTATAAGCTCGCGTACAAAATCAAGCTGTCCAGCTTTAGTTGCAACATGTAGCAGAGACTCCGGGGGACATGTTAGTGCAACATCAATAAGAATCAATGGCTTTTCTTGAAGCGATTTGCGTAGCAATTCAACATTTCCTGTATAAGCAGCTTCAAACAATTTCTGAATATCCATTTTTGGATCTTGCACACCAAAAAAAGACCTTTGGTTGAGGTCTAATAAGTTGCTTAATGAAAGCTATGTGTGAATAAGAACCACAGGTCTGATTTATATATAGAATCATCATGCCTCTTACCTATATACTATTGCAAGGGGTTGTTTGGACATTCCATCAAAATATATTGAGTCCATTCACACCTAATTAGTGACAAAAATTCTAAGAGTAAATCACTTTGTTGGGGGATACTTGCACAGGGCATATTTTTGTGTTGATTGGATAATGATTAACTATTCACTGGTGATTAGTTTCACCTTATTCACCTCTCATGTATTCCAATAATAACATACCACATCAACTTTAATAAAAAAATTATTTAATGGTTGATCTGAGAAAATATAAAGAATGTGAATTATTTGATTATTATAGTTAGTATGATATATTGTTATTGGAACACATGAGAGGAGAGTAACGTAAAGCTACTTATCGGTAAATAGCTAAGTATTATTCGTGTTAAAATACGTTTACGCAATGATATAAAACACGTTTAATGGAATATTGTACTGTCCAAACCCCTCCTATCTTATCTAGGAAGTATGGTGGTTCAAGCAATGATATAAAACACGTTTACGTAAGATTTTGTCAAAAGCTTAAGAAACCCTTCAACACTTCCATCCTTAAAATTTCTTGGAAGCAAGTGAAAGACTTTTAGAGTTTAGCTTTCATGACAACTTACATCCATTGACCTTGCACTAATACCAGAGACACACATCACACACACACACACAGTTAAGGAGACCAGGCCATTTGTGACAATCCAGATTTTTAAAAATTTTAATTTATATTTATTTCATGATTTTTAGTTGTCAAAGATTAATTATTTAATTTTATTTAAAAATTTATCTAATTGAAATATTTAAAGGGGTTTGATTTAGTTTTCTTTGTTAGGTAGTATTATATATATATTATAAAATATCTGTTGGAGTGGAGCACCTGGCCGAATTGAGAAGAAAGAGTAAGGAAAAGTTGTAAAGATTTGGTGGGGGAAAAGTTGTAATGATTTGGTGCGTCCCATTAATGAGACTCTTGGCCAAATTTCCTTTGGCTTTGTTCACGTGGACTGTTTGGAGTGTGAATGTATTGGGTATAAATCCATGCTAATTACTACCAAATTGGCTTACCGCCCAATTTGGGTGCGTCACTGGTTTAAGTCAAGCTTATCTCATAATAAAAAATGGACTAGGCAATTCTCATACTTTGATTTATAAGTCATAGGGTTACAACTTAAGCAAGGTGGATGAGTACAACTCAAGTCTAACCGGATATATGAAATATTCAATTCTAATTAAATTTTAATACGACCTTCAACTGTAATTACTGAATTCGAGCCCAACTTATTCTTTAATTTTTAAATTCAGGTTTACAATTCGGTTGAGATTTCAAATTTAAAAATCAAGTTACTTCGAGTTATTAATATAATCACAGTACAAATTGAATTTATTTATTTTTTTGGTCAAGTCCAATTTGAGAGATAGAGAAGATACCACTGAATCACAAGTCCCTTGGTCATTGAAAATCTAATTTGATCCAGAGTTAATAATTTCATATTAAAATACTTTAAAGCACAAAAAATTGTACAAAGTTAATGCGGATTTCTAAGAAATTAATCCTGTGAATGCAATAAATTAAATTTTAAATAAAAAAATTTGAAAAGAAAAAAAGTGATCATAGTATGAATATTATAATATAATATATATATATATATATATATATATATATATATATATATAGATTGAAAACTTCGACTCAATTCAAACCCTAATTGAATTTGAATTAATGTTTTTCAAAAAATGACTAACCCTAATTGTAAAAATGACAAGTTGCACCCTTACTATGTGGTGTCAAACAGAATAATAATACTAAATAAGCACCTAGATGTAACTAGGGGTGTTCATTTGATTCCCCTAATTCGTGAATCCGATTCGATCCAATTAAATCCGTACGGATTTATCAATTTTTAGTGTAATGTTTGGGTTACAAATTTATAAATTAAGAATTTGTCGAAAACGGATCGATTAACAAATTAGGGTCTAAAAAATAGAACCTATATAACAAATCCGTTAGTTTTACATTATTGCAAAATATATATTATATGTACACTATTTCTTTAATTCTTTCAAGTTTTAACTCTAATCCTACCCCCATCTGTATTTCAGTTTCTGGAAAGGGGGATCTGGATAATGTATCTTGTTCAGCATGGATGGAAGCTACCACAGTATCAAATAATTGGAGAGGATGGTGCACGAACCAGAGGATGCTGTGGAAGTGGAAAGACCTGGAAAGTAATCAGAGTGTTAAAGTTTATGTTTAAGGATCATCTCAACTCTCAAGGTACAGAAAAGAGAGAGTTTTACACTTACTTCTTGAGAGTCTACAAATCATATTAAATTTAATTTTTATCATTTCGCTGGGATCAGATTGATTTAGGTTTGATTCCTAAACCAATCCAATCTAATTCCGTGGTCACCTTAGATGAAACCAAATTTGTTAGTTACTTCGAATCTCGGACCAAGTACACCAAATATATGATCAGTAAAGAAAAGAAAGACAAATTCCCTGTAACAGGTACACTAAAAGAGAAGTAGTTAGATTTTATTTGTTAATAAGGGTAGATGGTGTTCGAAGCTTGAATGAAGCTCAATGGTGATACATTGTTTCGAATTCAATAAGGACCAACCACAACATGGACATATAAATCTTATTATTATTATTTTTATAAATTGGCTCCTCTTTATTTATTTATTTTTTTGCTAAATAAAATTACATTAAACCAACAAAACAAGAATACAAAGCTACAAGAAGAGAGGGCATACCCTCACATTACAATTGAAAAAGGCCATTTCCATAAACCAGAAAAGATTAAAAAAAAAAAAAAAAAGGTAAAGAGAAAGAGCACCAACAAACAACACATGGTAAAAAGCAATGTCACTTCCACCTCTTGAACAACTGAATCACAAATCTCATTATAAAAGGCACAGCAGCTGCAAGCAGAACATAGCGAAAATGCACTGATTCACCCGGTGCAATAGCGAAAACTGCAGAAGCATAAGTTGCATACATTGAGGCCATGGCCACCCATATTTCGAAATGAAAAGGAAATCCATGAGTTAGAGAAACAAGGACAAGGATGGACGCGGAAAGAGAGAATTTGTTAGATATCAAGAAAACGTAGAATGCTACTTTGTGAGACGCGTAAATTGCCCTTCCTGCCTTGTGTCCATTGCTGTCATCCTGCCAAACACCACCACGAGGGTTGACCCCGGCTTGGAATGTCACCGCGGTGACCATAGCTGCCACTATTAGCAGCACATTTCGGATGTCACTAGGAGTGTCCTTGTGTTCTTCATACCTAAACCTGAACCAGTTCTTCCAACAAGCAGAATCTGAAGGCCTGCCCATTTTCCTGAAGCTAATTGTGGTACTGAAAACTTCATTTTGAGAGTCTGATATATAAAAGAAATTTTGGACTGTCTTCTAACTCACTTTCCAATACACTCATTGATATTTAATTAGGAAGGAAGAAGATAAAATGGTACTTAATATAATATCTGTACTCGTTATTGTAATAAAATATTTTGGTGTTTCAACAGTCGATGAACAAGAATCATCGGGATGCCTTCATGAACACGTGCTTAGAGTAAAATAATGGTATGTTCATCTTGAAAAATGAGTTGATTCAGTTAGAAAAATGATGTGAAATGGTTGGTGTTGGCGTCACTCATTGAAGACAAGCTTACCTCATTAATCAAATAAAAATTTGACTTTCATCCTTAAAATTTCTTGGAAGCAAGTGAAAGACTTTGATGACAACTTACATCCACTGACCTAGCACTAATACAAGACACACACAGAGTTATGGAGACGAGGAGGACATTGCTCCTACGTTATGCTGCTCGTACACATATGCTTGGAAAATGTTAAAAGGACAGATTTCCGCTCCACGAACTAAATTTTCTCCAATTCATCTATTCTATTAATTCCAAGGCTCCAATTCTATGCATAGCTATATAAGTTAATTTTTACAATATTTTCTTTAAAGCGGGCAGTTTTGTTGAAATTAAGCATAACTATGTGTTTAGCATGACCTTTTTTAGTCTTTATGTTTAAAGCAGTTATTTTGAACATTAGGTTCTTAGTATTATCTATTTTTAGATGAGTGGATGCTATCAAGAAAGCTCATTTGTAATTAACTTTTTATATTTAACTACTGAATTAAAACATTTTTTTTTTTTTAATATGTAAAATATATTTAACCACTGAATTGAGAATAATAGATCTATAACTCCAACTCATTAAAAGCAAGCTTACCTCATTAATCCAAAAAAAATTGGACTTGGCAATTCTGATCACTTGAATTACAAGTCCTAGATGTCCTACTGTGGTGTCAAAGAGAATAATTAGACCAGATAAGCAACTTAAATGTATAGATGAAACCAAGTCATGTTAGTTAATTAGAACATATATCAGACCAAATACAAGGAAAATGATATATCTGTAACGACCCTGGATTTTTCAACCCAGCATGTTCTGTGATGACCCGAATCAGATCCAAGATGCGGAAGCAAAAGAAGTAAAAAGGCCTCTAGAGATGTACGTTATCTCTAAGACGCCAAAGTGACTCCCCATAAAGCCACTGAACTTAAATGAGCCAAGCAAATGAAGCAAGAATGCTTAACTCGAAAAGAAATGAATCAAGGGCAAAATGGTCATTTCACACTGAAATGGGTGCCACCGCGCACACCATTGGAAAGACAACAAAAAATGAACAAAGTTAGACTCAAGAATCACCTGATTCTGAGTCTGGACGGAAAAGATATAAATTTAAAACAAAGTGGCCTTCTCCGCTTAAGGATTTCCTCGACCTTATCTCACTAGAACTGGAATAACTCCCACTACAGTTGGAGTTTTGATGAGTGGTTGGTACCAATGGAAGGATAACTTCGAGCTTTTGAATTTAGACTCAAGAATGAACAGATTTGAATTAGAAACGAAGGAGATAAGTCC